TATATATATATATAAAACAAAACCTACATTTTCTGACCTTAACTCTGTATATTTTATATAAAATTTCTGAGATTTATTTTTAAAGAATATCATAGTCCTTATCAAACATTTCTGAAAAATTACAGAGCAGTATTATACAGCTATGTATCCGAGACCACGCTAAGCATTCGCCGCAATCATAAATTTGACGAATAAAATTGTGTTTTAGCGAAAGCATTGGCGAATGATTTTTTCCACTGAAAAGAAATATATATATTTAACTCGATCCTCAAAATTAAATCAAAATCATTTTTTCTAAACAAATAAGTATTTTTTATACGATTGCAGTAATTATCGGTAGATGCGCTGCATAACCAATTAGAATTGGATCCAAATAATATAAGCTTGGAACAAACTACTGTAAAATAGTTTCTATGGGGGAAAATATTAATCTTATGTTTATATGTATGTATGCATTTATATATGTATTTATATATGTATATATGTATATGTATAATATACTTATTATACAGCAGTACATTTCCCTTTAGCGTAGTCTACCCTAAAATGAGCAGTGACGTGCGTATGGCTGAAGTCATATTCTTAGCCATAGATGGAGCCTCTGAAAAATAAGAACGCACCCTCTGCTTTAAATTTGCTTTGTTTCGCCAAGCAGGCTTGCTAGTATTTGGCAAGGGGCATTAGAAACAACACAAAAACCTTGAACATGTGGGAGTCAAAACAAATGACCTCATAATTATACTCATTATTGTTCCTCATTATTGCCTCATTGTTCCTCATTATATTCCTTCTGTTACGAAATTAAACACAAAAATGTCGGAATAGTTTTTTTTTTCTTTTTTTTTTTAGTTTGCGTAATCGGATTTTAAATAATCAAAATCTAAGTAAAGGAAATACAGTTCCAATGGGATAATAGTGAGAAAATTTGAAGAGCAACAAAGAGCAATGCTCTATTTCGCCACGTTTATTTTTCTGCATTACCAAAAAATTTGAAAAATAATCATTTATTTTGTGAATGTTTTTTTTTCAGTGTGCTGCTTTACAAGCTGTAACTCAAATATCAGACATACTTGAGGAACAGGCAGTAAGAAAAATGGTGCTGCCAAGGACCAAACAAGTGTTTGATAACAACTCAGGAGTTAAGGTAAAAAAATAATATTATCTTTTTTTCTTAATATGGGCAGCTTATCTTGTTTAATAATGCATATGAACTTTTAAGTCTCAATAAGTTATGATAAAAGTTTTTTTTTCTCGTTTATTTTAAAAACTCTAAACCGCTGATCTGTAATCTTGAATAAGTTGTCGTTTTTTATAAACGTAATTAGTGCAAGTATTAAGATATAGCTTTTCTTCATACGTTTCGTAAAAAATGTGATAAACCTGCATCATTAACAATACATTTTTGTGGAAGCATTTTCATGGGCTTACGTTATTATATATTTAAAAATAATTAATTCTTGAATATATGTAAAACTTTTACATCTTGCATTTGCATAGATTTGCATTTTTTACAGAAAAGTCAAACAAGTATGGTAGGAGAACAAATTTGCCAAATAAACTGAAAAAATTTTCCTTAAGAAGACAGTAATCATAGATTAGTTTATGATTAAAAAAAGTACTAGAATGATTTCTATAAGCATATATAGACCACATTGAAAATCTAATTCGCTAGAATATTAATATGCGTTTAACTTTTTTAATAAAATTTGAAACTTAAAACACTTCAAATCTAAGCTTCTATGCTTACTAAAATTCTATATTTTAAAAATCTCGCATGCAACTCAAAGTTTCCTTCGTATACCTTTGTCTGAAATGACAATATAAGATAGATAATTAATAAATATTCTGAGTGACTTTTTTTCAGAGAATTATTGCCCCAAAATTGTCGTTTTAGTTTTTTTCTTCTGATTTTCTTAGTTTTTTAACTTCTGATTCATTCACTGTCTATTAATTTTCCTTTTTCCAATTCTTCTTTGTTATTCTGATTAATACGATTTCCATGACTACAGGGCGCCTTTTCAGTTTTGTACGTTTTCGTTATCACTGGTTTATACTTCAATGTCAGCTTTTAATTGTTTAATTCTGTCATATTGAATGCCAAACTCTTGTATCATTAAATTCTACATTCAATTCTATTTCGATGTTTTGTTTTTACATCTATCTCAGTTTTTACTGTTTTGCTTTTCTTCAATACACGTAATGTCTTTTTGTGCTTGGTGCAGTATAGTTGCTTCTGAAGCTTATTACGCTTAAAAACTTCATTTAAATAAACGTACAAGAAATATACCATTGTTTTTTTTTATAGAAAAATAGCTTTAATACAAGACGATTAAAAGAAACTAATTATTCTCTTAATAAAAATAACAAGCCCCATTGAACAAACAAATAAAATAACAAGACCAAACAAACAAAAATAACAAGCCCCAAAATAAATGTAAAGAAAATTTAAATCGCTTCAGTGGATGCTATATTAATTCCTGCACGAAATAAAAATTTGATTGTTTAATAAAAAAAATCATGTTTTTCAACGAAACTGTTTTAAACAGTTTTTAAATAATTCATAAAAGTTATTTCGGAAATTATAAAACAATTTCAAACTGATGCTAATTATGCGTCAATTAGAAAGGATTATTGATACATTTTCTAAGTGAAGATGCATTAAAATTAGCACTTAGTTCGAAAGAACCCGATCATTAGAACTAAAGTTATGCTGTGGAATATATATATATATATATATATATATATATATTCACACNTATTTATATATATATATATATTAATTTTGCACCGCTCTGTAAACCTCCAAGTTAGGCAACGTAAACCAGTTCTACGCATGAATTAATTGCAGCAGATAATTCTTCTAGCGTCTTTTTCAGGATAAGAGCTTTAAAAAAACAAAAAAGTGAAAATAATCGGAAAGAATTAAAGCCGTCTAGCACATGTATTCATAAAACTTATGAGCAGCTTACAAAAAGGGCGGACATCCCCATCTAAAGTAAACAAGAAACTGACATTGCCTAGCAGATAGCACGGGAAATTGTCATGAGTATTAGAAACTCTAGCCAAATTCGTTGAAACTTATTACACTAACCAAATTTCATTTGTAATTATTAATAATATTATTTCTTTACATATTTTATCATTTACATAATTATCATAATATTTTATCATTTACATAATTATTATAATATTTTATCACTTACATAATTATCATTAACATACATAATTACATAATTGTCATTTGCATATTTCATTTGTAATTATTAATTTTATCATACTTGAATAACATTGTAATGAAGATGAGGAAAAGAGGGATTAAATTTTCAAAGAATTCTTTCGAAGATAACAACTGAACAGATGTTGAGTTCTTGAAAGCATCTGATAAAGAAATCTTTTGTAAAAGTTTCTGCACGAGACACTCCTCCCATAGCAGAGGAAAATAACTTGGAAGTTTGATTCCTGAATCGCAGTTATTATTTTGGAGCAGTTTAAAATCTTCTAAACATCCAAAGATTTAATTGATCACTGATCAAGTAACTTTATGTAAATATATACAATATTATACGTATAATTGAAAGAAATTTGCTTAACCATATTTCCGTTTTATCTTTTATTTATTTATCTTTGATAACTTTAAGATAAAAATCTTAAAAATATAATTTTAAAAAAAAGCAAATGATAAAAATAATGGAAATAAATACAAGAAAATCTTGAAAATAAAAAAATGAAGAACAGAAGAAAAAAATTATGACGTCGTTGCTGCAACCTGCAAGCCACGCGCAACTCATAAAGAGATGTGAGTTACGTTGATTTTTAATTAGTAATAAGCTGTGACGAAGTATAATCGGTTGGAGAAAATCATAGTAACTCCTAATTTGCTTAAAACTATTTATGCATTACAAAAAAGCAAATTTTTTTCTTCAAAATATTATTAATGTAATATAAAAGTAAGTACATAACAAATTTGACATATTTTGAATCATCGATAGTATTGAAATGGCAAGAAAAATCGGTGTTGAGTCGTTTTTCTCGAAATCTTTCTTGAAGCACTTTCGTTGTTTGTTTTTTTTTTTCAATTGTACGGCAGAGATATTCTAATTAATTAGTGCAGACGGCATTTTAAGTTATAAAAGCGGAGTCAAAAGCGTACTTTTTCTGAATGAGCATACTTCTTTTTCGACAGATTTGGATTTCTGACCCCCAAAATGTATGGTCCCTATCTTAATGACTTTGATCGAATGATCGTATCTTCAACTTCGAGGACTCAATCTTTATGGTTTGAGGGGTTGGCCTCAAGTGTGCTAATTAATTAGTGTAGACATTATTTTAGGCTCTGAAATCGAACACAAAAACGTACTTTCTCTGAATAAATATACCTTTTTTAAGACGGATTCGGATTTCTGTCCCCCAAAACATAGGGGGTCACCCCAATCTGGGAAGTGTGGTCCCCATAGTTTGGTCAAGAGAATAGTCCAAAATTTGACCTCTTAAAGTGAATTTTATTTCCTTCGTATTTTTCCATATTTTTAGAATTTTATAAGAGTCAAACATTTTATAACAGTCAAAAATTTAAAATTTCAAAAATTTAAAAGAATTCAAACAATTTTGCACACAATTATAAAATTCGTATATCCGAAGATAAATTCCATGCAAAAAATAGTTTTCAGTAAATACTTATTATTTTTGTTATTTTATTTAATAACAGTCGGAAAAGCTGGAATTGTAAGGTATAAATTTTCTTACATCATTTTAAAGAATGCAATTTTATATGGCAAAATACAAAGTTTCAGCGAATTTGGTCAAATGGTTAATGAGAAATTGAATTTCAAAAAAGTAGTATCTGTAAAATTACATTTCCAAGGATCTATTCGATAGATTTCACTCAAATTTTGTACATAGCCATATAGAATCTCATTATTTTACAATGTTGTAAAAATTACATACCTTATTGCCCAAACTTTTTTCGACTATTATTAAGTTAGATAACATAAAAAGTAAATGTTTAATGAAAGCTATTTTTTACGTGGAATTATCTTTAGATGACGAATTTTATAATTGTGTGCAGAAATTTTTCTTTTCGCATAAAAAGTTCTAAAGATATCGAAAAATATGCATAAAGTGAAATTAACATTAAAGTATTCAAATTTTGATCACTGTCCTGACAAACCTATTAGGATCATATTTCCCGGATTATGACCGTCCTTCAACAGCCGACCCAATTTTGGGTTTTACGACTACTAATGTTCAGCTACGTAATTTTGAGCCCAAGCCAGAAAACAAGAAAGCTCCTGGATCATGTAATGGGAGAAATTTGCCTTCATGGAGGACTTTTTGATGGAACTAACCCACATTTGCTTTACATAGAAAGGAAGACCACGAGAACCTCCCATGGTTAGCGCGACGGCAGAAATGATCCATCTACCACTGAGGATAAATTTACTTCAGCATTGAGGTCGGTGTAAGTCGGATGCGGAATTCGTATTGACCAACCATCGCTGGGATTCGAACCCGGTTCACCTCACTGAAAGGTGAATGTTCTATCCCAGAGCCATCACGGCTCTTTCCTGATTGCGGCTAATCCTTATATTTTGGGGATCATAAATCGGAATCTATTGAGAAAAAGGTATATTTACTCAGACAAGGTATATTTTTGCGCCTGATTTCGTGAATTAAAATATCACATATTTGAGTTTATCTCTCTGAACCATTAAGATTGAGTTTTAGAAAGTGAAGATCCAATAGGTATCATAAGTTATTCAGGGTGGTCCGTTTTGCTCAGTGAACGCATATTTACAAACGACAGGGATTGAAAAAAAAATAGGCAATTTTAAAAAAAAACTTTAAATTTGTTAAGAACGGCTATAGTCCTTTAACTCTCTCAGTGTGAATATTTTTTAGAAAGAAATAAACTATTCTCAGAATCATCAAAACCATTTCCTTTAGGATTTTAAATAAAGCAAAGACATACCGAATGATGATTGATGACAACAAGGAACAGCAAGAATAGAGTGCTAAAGAGAAAACACTTCTCTGAGCAAGGTCACCAGTAAAAGGCCACAAACTCACCTGAGATTGCATTAACGATCTCATCTAAACAAAAGAAATAAAAATAAATGTTTCTTCCCATAGGATGCCCATAAATGC